AGTGGGAAACATGGGATAATTTTAGCATAACGGGCTTCGCCCGTTATGCAAATTATCCCATGTTTCCCACTATTGTTGATGCCCTGGCATACTCTCAAAACCAGAAGTCTCTGTCGAGACTGAAGCTCTACTGGTTTGAACTTATAGCAAAGGAAGAGAAAAGTACTTAAGCAGCTGGGATTTGAAACTAAATAGAATAATGATCGTTGATAAAGTCTCTTTATGTTCTTAGTGTAGTCTACTTGTGTGCCAAGTTATACTGAAATCAGACCAAAACTGTAGGAGGAGTAGCATTTTGAAACAATTTTACAGACATTTCTATTTTTAGTAACCACGGCAACACCGTTCATCAAAATTAAAATTCGATACACAGAATCATGTATCTTAGTGTATTCTACTTATGTGCCAAGTTATATTGAAATCAGACCAAAACTGTAGGAGGAGTAGCATTTTGAAACAATTTTACAGATATTTCTATTTTAGTAACCACGGCAACACCATTCATCGAAATCAAAAACCGATAAAGAGAATTATGTATCTTAGTGTATTCTACTTGTGTGCCAAGTTATAATGAAATCAAACCAAAACTGTAGGAGGAGTAGCATTTTGAAAGAATTTCACAGAAATTTTCTATTTTTAGTAACCACGGCAACACCGTTCATCAAAATCAAAAACCGATATACCGAATTATGTATCTTAGTGTATTCTACTTGTTTGCCAAGTAATACTGAAATCAGACCAAAACTGTAGGAGGAGTAGCATTTTGAAAGAATTTCACAGAAATTTCTATTTTTCTTAACCACGGCAACACCGTTCATCGAAATCAAAAACCAATAAACAGAATTATGTATCATAGTGTATTCTACTTGTGTGCCAAGTTATAATGAAATCAAACCAAAACTGTAGGAGAGTAGCATTTTGAAAGAATTTCACAGAAATTTCTATTTTTAGTAACCACAGCAACACCGTTCATCAAAATCAAAAACCGATATACAGAATTACGTATCTTAGTGTAGTCTACTTGTGTGCCAAGTTATACTGAAATCAGACCAAAACTGTAGGAGGAGTAGCGTTTTGAAAGAATTTCACAGAAATTTCTATTTTTAGTAACCACGGCAACACCGTTCATCGAAATCAAAAACCGATACACAGAATTATGTATCTTAGTGTAGTCTACTTGTGTGCCAAGTTATACTGAAATTAGACCAAAACTGTAGGAGGAGTAGCATTTTGAAAAATTGTTTACAGACAGACGGACAGACAGACGGACAGACGGACGGACGCCGGACGCATTACTATCGCATAAGCTCTTCTGGTCTCTGACCAGTAGAGCTAACTAGACAGTGATTCCTTAAATCATCTTCCTCAAATGATAAACAGTCTACATATAATTTTTGTGACTTTGGATTTAACATTCCCTTTTCTAAAAGGAGTTAAATTATTGACAAAAAAGATGATGAAACAAGAACATCAGCAGTCTCGTTTAAAGTAATCATTTCGCAAACTTGTTCTATGGTTGATATAATAAATTCTTTTATTTATTTTCTATTTAGACAGGATAGCACAATTAGTACATATGACTAGTTTACATTATGGTCCTGTATAAAACATATTTATAGACAGATATATTTTAAAAAAAAGTAGAAACTAGAGTAAAAAAAGAATATATACATAGCATATTATATCAGACATATTTGTACATACTAATAAATAAACTACTAGTATTAAATACTGTGCCATAGATAAAATTCATTTAAGAACAATTTCTTCACCTATTTAAATTATAACTTTGCAGATATGCTGATTTAAAAGAAGCCAAAGAATTACAGTTTCTAACGGAGTCAGGCAACTGGTTCCATAAAATTGCATTTGAAACTTTAAAGGATCGCTTATAATATTCAGTTCGTGCTTTTGGAATATATAAAAGGCCACTAACACTACTTCTTGTTGCCCTTGAGCTAACTTGGCCAACATAAGTAAAAACATTCAATATTCTGGCGTCATACTTTTCATAACTTTAAAAGCAAGCACAGGTTTTCTATAAATAAGATAATCATATACAGGCATCCATTTAAGAGCACTAAAAGTGTCAACAGGAGTTTGAATGTCTTTCACATTCATGATAATTCTAGTGGCCCTTTTCTGTAATCTAAAAATTCTATCAATAAAACTCTTGTTTTTGGCTGAACACCAAACAGAGCAACAATAGTTAAAATGAGGAAAAACAAGTATATACTGACAAAACGTCAGAGATACTCAAGCCGTAGAAAGTCAACTAAGAAGTGTCATTAATATCTTAAAATGGTATAAGATGAGGGCTACTGAGTTCAATCTTCTGTTGAATAAAATACATGTATTCTGAAACAAATTTAATATATTGAATTTAGAAATAACTACGGGTTGATCTAGCTAAGCGACATGTCCAGTGTAACCAGTGGACTCGTCCAAGGATGCTTTGTCGGCGACCGTAAAAAGTTACCTGAGATTCCTACGCAAAGAAAAGCGCGAAATCTCTGTATATGCGGCTGCGGAGCTTCACTCATTGTTCATTCGTCGTAGAATAGAATCCGACATTTAACACTTAATTTCTTTGAATATACAGGCATTTTTAAGATAAGCTTCATTTTTATTTCTAGAAATGTTTTTATCTACAAAAATAATACATCTTCGTGTTTTTAAATTGAGTAAATCGATGACCTAGCATCGTTCTAGATAACTCAAGCCCCTCTAGGGCTTAAGTAATAACAGTGTTATAAACTTTTAACAATGCTGCCTTTGACATAAAACTTTGAAGACGGCGTAAAATACCTATATTTTGTGAAAGCTTATTACATAGAAATTCAATTTGTATAGACCAGGTTACACATTCATCTATATGTACACCAAGTAGTTTGGCACTTTTAACAGTCTCTAATCAATCAATGATCAATGAGCTTGTCAGCAAATACAATTAATCATTCAGTCAAATGCTGACTGAAGTTTTTAGATTAATTTTTAAGCCATTATTTACACACTGAATTGTGGATGGATTTTCCCGATCATGACAAGGAGCACAGGGCATGCTCACTCCTCCATGCCACCTGATCCCACTTTTGATGTTTTGGAGGTGCTCTGCTCCCATTTTGTATTGTTTAATGGACTTTTGAGCTTTGATACTGTTCATTATCTATATTTATTTCATGTGATGATATTTAGGGGTAAAAAGATATTTTGCATAAAATAATTAACATTTGTACAAAATCGGAATTCAACAAAATTAAGTCAGTATGAATTTTGTTATTACTGCATGTAATTTAGATGGTCAAATTATCATTTTGACTGAAAAAAGCAACAATTGTATAATATCAATACGTTTTAATATTCACGACAAAATATATTTCAAACTAAATAAAAACATCCTTGAAACATACATGTGAAACATGCCGGTAATCAGGATGTCATGTTTTTAACATACAAATACAAACATGTGAGATATCCTTTATGTTGCAGGAAATGCGAGATCTTAGACTTTAAAAAAAATCTCACCGTGTAATTAAGGTATGTCACTCGTCAGCATTTTAGAAAAGTTAGCGCAGACCATCTTACTTCAAATCTATTTGTTAAAATTAAATGTTTATAACATATCTAATTTCAACAATGTTAATGTTTTAACATTCAAAGAAAAAACTGCTCAAAAAACTTCAAAGAAGCAAGATTTATAAGGGACTATTTCTTGTGGTGGAAGGATTTTTAGCAAATAATTCTGCAAATCTGCACATTTATTAAATTTAATATCTTGGATCTTTAGCCTCACATACTTTTACTCGGAGAATATTTTCCAGTATGATATTGCTATGAATATAGTTAATATTGGTCTTAATTTATATTTTTATAACAAGTTTTACACCTTCCTTCAAGAATTTTTGCCAAAAAATGAAGATATGTCAAATAAGTCTAGATAAAATTTACACTGTTTTTCGCATGAAAATCGCATATTTTGACCCATATTTCAAAATTAACATCACTGACCCCAACTTTTTCTTTCATTATTTTAAAGTACTCGATACTTGTGACTGATCAGCACTCAAGTCGTAATAAGCTTGATTTAAGAAAATGATTTATTCCCTATTCAGTTTTATAATACCCCAAAATATGGGGGTTTTTTTAGTGCAAAAATGTCACACAATAATTTACGCGCATTAATTTGCAAGATTTGTTCAATGATAAATATTATTCAAAGTATTTTACATAAAATAAAATCATATTGATTTCCATTGTTACATCTGATAAAATATTATAAAGGTTAAAGTAATTAACCAAAAATGTGAAATTTAAGTGCAAAAAGGTCAACTTCATTGTACCGTAGATCAGTTAGATGAACACTGACCCCCAATTTTTTCTGCGATTTTGAGTTACTCTATATGAGTACTTATCCAAAATACACTTCTCAAAAAATCCTTGATTTAATAAAATTCACGAGTGACATACCTTAAAGGAGGAAGCGTAAAGAATTTCTTTCATGATAAATGATGTTTTGTCAAAGCTCCTTTTTTTCATTTTCCGGTAACTTTGCTGTTTACTTCCCCAAGTAGATATTAGGATGGTTTCAAAGGTACATGTATTAACGTAAGTTTTTTTACACTTACATTTATAAACTGCGACTACATTTCTTTGGTAGAACTATCCATGATTTTTAGTACAGTTTGAAGTCTCAATTTTCCGTACAAATAAACAAGGTAACTTTTGTTACTATAGTATTTGATCGGCGTTATCAAAGATACATAATAGGTACCGCAGCAATACAAATCAAAACAATAATTAACGCACCTTCACAAAAATATATTGACGAATTTATTTACAAGTAAAAAAAAAAAAAAAAACAACTAACGAAGATACCAAAATAAGGAAAATGCAACTTAGTTACTGGAACTAAGTTATAGATGTGCACACTGAAAGTTTGTTGAACTTACATCCTAATGGCCAAGACCTTGAGTTCCATAACCATTGTACCACCCAGCACGATCAGATACAGCTGCAACAAGTGTGAGTTCATGTTCTTTTATTTACAACAAAAACCTTTTATCCAAAACAGCGAAAGACCTTTATACATGTTGCACAAGAATTAGGTAAGGTGTTTTAAGAATACGGGTCTTGGAGATCATTGGGAAAACAGGGAATAGGCTTTAAAATCGAAAAATATTACACACTCTTGCCATTTTATTGTAACTACCAGTATTATAAGGTTGACACTCAGGTTATATTGATAATATTGCAAGATTGATGCGAAACAGATTCAGAGAGTGGAACAATAAATAAATATTCTTCAACTGTTTTACAACATACTCTCATCTTGTCATATCTCTCATATTATTGTTGCAAATCAACATCAAAAGCACCAGGAATAATGTACTCTTGATATTAATTACCTACAATAGACACCTGCTAAATTAAAACCGACTTTGTAATTAAAACCGTGCTATTTAATTATGTTCGAAAACATTTTCATTGTGTCTTCATACGAAACTATAATAAATACACTTTTAATCATGCATGCAGTGGAGGCTAAATAACTTCAGTTAAAGTTATAATCATTTCATGCTAATGATCTATGAGAATGGCGGGTTTTAATTCCTGATGTAAGAGAATATCAACGTCTGGGTGTATAAATTGAATAATTTTGTACGCTTTATGACCACTATGATAATTGCATGAAGTATTCATAGGTTCAGAATCGTGATGCTATTCACCTCTATAGAAAGTAAGTTAGAATGATTGGGACACAGTCACACTACAAGTGATTATATTTGTGCATCAAAAACAGTATCCTGTATAATGAAATCAGGGGAAACAAACAAGAAAACAAACAAAAGACATCTAAACGGTCAAAATCGGCTAAAGCAAATCTTGAGGTATTGATTCTGCTTTACATCAGATCTTAGGAAGCTCCCTGTACAACATCAGCTTAGACCTCAGAGACCATGTATTGCATCAGAGCAACAATCATCCTAGAATGGACGTAATCTGACTCAGCTTAAAGAGGCTTAACATGGGGAACAGATATCTGTGGTTCCAGTAGTTAACTCGTCATTATACAATTTATCAACCATGAAGAATGTATCAAAGAAAGACCCAGTCTAACTTAAAACATGATGATTTCAAATGGAAAACTAGAGGTTCTGTGACCAATGAGCTCACTAAATGATACTCGCCCGCCTCCCATATGGTTATAATGGCAAAGTCCATGTTTTGCTCTGGGAGACCCGAAATACATGTAAGTGTCAAATAAAAAAGTAAAATGGGAGCTCACAATGGCATTTTTGTAATAAAGCATCTGTGAATGTATCATTAGATTTTATTCAGTGGTATAGGAGGAGTTGCGGATAAAAGATGGATACCCTTCAATTTTACAGAAAGAATGGCCGTGTCTCTGTTTTGCTCTGGGAAACTCAAAATATATTTCCGATCAAAAAGTAAAACAGAAGGTGCACAATGGCAATGTGTAAAAAAAAAAAAATATGTGAAAATCTCATTAAATTTCATTCAGTGGTAGAGGAGGAGTTGCGGATAGAGATGGGTACCCCAAAGCGTAACGGACGGACATTCCGATTACTAATATTTCAAGCACACAACATAATCTTGTTCGATTTATAAGAAGTTAACTTTTAATGTAAGGTTCGTGGAAAAATAACCAATTTCGAAGTCATTTAATAACCGTCAATTAAGTCTTTCAGAATCTAGGATCCCGGAAACAACCGTGAACAAACAATATCAACTACGTCTTAATGGCCCTGGCTTGCCGCTACCGATTTTACTTACTCGGCATCAGTACTAGTAATGCATGTAAATATTTTCAATTTGAAAAATAAGGCTGACCTTTGAGCCTCCAATTTGTAAAGTCGGAGAATATGGAGCCCGTTTTCTTAATTCCAACACCGGTAGGTTCAGTGTTGTCATGGTTGTATTTAAAGAACATTCTCTGCTCGGTACAAACATGCACCAAGTATTAGAAACTCTAAACAGGGTTCAACATCTGTTGGGAACATTCTTCCAGAGGAATTTTGAATGTCAAATTCCTAGGAAGAGTAACTAAGTTCTTTATTCAAAGTAGTATGTTTTGTTTGTTGTTTAACAGAGTGTTCTTCACGTCCCGCAACGGGACTCCAATCCGCAACGTAATGACCAACTCTTTGCAACTCCTTACATCGTAACTCTAAAGCAAACGCTCTAACCACTGCGCCATGCCACTCAGGCGATCAAAATTGTTTTTAAAAGAAACTGAAATCCTTCAATGTAACATTGTATTTCAAATGGAAGCTGCTTGTCCTTCCCTTTTATTATACAGAAAGAAAAGTGGGAGGTACACAGTGATCGGGATGTCCGTCTGTACGTTCGTCCGTCCGTCTGTCTGTACTTCCGTCGGTTACGTTTTGGGGTACCCATCTCTTTTCCGCAACTCCTCTTATACCACTGATTGAATTTTGATGAGACTTTCACAGAATCTTTGTTACATAGTGCCATTTGTGCACCTCCTATTTTTACTTTTGGATCGGACACATATACAATGGAGCCTCGTTTATCCGGACGCTTTGGTTCCTAGTCAGTATGTGAAGCGTCCGGATATCTGAATTACCAGTAAAACAAGATGAAGTAACTTTTAAAAATTCCGTTCCGATGAAAAGACATCCGGATACTGAAGCATCCAGATATCTGAAGGTCCACTGTATATGGATTTCCCATAGCAAATCATGACACTGCCATTCTTTCTGTAATATTGAAGGGTGCAAGTCTCTTGTCCGCAACTCTACTCATACCAGCTAAAAATAGACTTCGTCATTATAATCATATGGGAGGCGGAGGATATCATTTAGTGAGCTCAGTGCTCACATTAATTCTAGTATTGCTTTAATTACGGGGTTGCATATTGAGAGATTCTAGCAGTTTCAGACGGCTGGAAAGAAAATTATACACACTTTTTAGTTTTAATGTCCGTTTTGATACCTTTTCACTCTATTTAGAAAAAACCATTTTGCTATTTAGACTCATACCTGGCCCTCTTTCAGAGCCATCCAGACACGGGAAATTGGTTTATTCAAGTGGTCTCACGTCCTGCACCGGGGATGTAAAGATCGACTTCTACGCTCTGACCACTGCGCCATGCGGGCAACCTGCGAAAAAGATGATATTTAATACCCTGATTGTTAACCTTCTAATTTTGCTTTAGTTCAGAGTTGATGTCGGTTGGTTGATATGGCGTTGTATGATGCCGTGGTCGTGGGGGCCGGGATAGAGGGGTCTGCCACGGCGTATAACCTCGCTAAGAATGGTCAGAGAACACTGCTTCTGGAACAGGTAGGTCTATCTCCGTCAAGGTGATCTAAGCAAGATCATATTAACGCCACGTATGACTGATTAATTTCTTGAGATTTAATATGGAAGTCCTTAAAGGTCAAAGTGTGAAAGTTCTGAATAAATACGGTTTTTAAAAACGACATTGATTGTAAATCCAAAGCAGAATTACAAAAATGAGTTAAACATACTGGTAGTTATACCATTGATGAACTGGGAACAATCTAGCTACAGTTAAAAATTTGCTGACTATACCTGTATATATACATGTTTAAAACTATGAGTTTAATCAACAGTTGTTACCTCTAAGTCAGGTCAGCCAATCCAAGTTTATTAGCCACAGGCACTTGTTGAACGCTAATATATTTTGAACCCATATTTAAGAATAACAAGTTAAATTGATGAAAAGCATCAAATCGGTCGCAAAAAAAAGAATTTTCCCATTCTTTGAATGTTTTAGTTTCCGTTACCTCACTCGAGAGGGAGTTCGCATGGGCAGAGTAGAATTACTCGAGTAGCGTACGGGAAGGATGACCATTATGCCAACATGATGAAGGAGGGGGGTAAATTATGGCGGGAGTTGGAACGAGAGTCCGGGACCTCTCTCTTTTTGTATGTCTTTCAATGATACTAATTAATGATACAGCTCAAAAAATTCAGATTGAGTATTTATAAAGCTCTTTAATATTTTTCATATTGCTTGCAATGAATATATACGTTTTTAAATTATCATACTTTATCTAACATAAAAAACACATGTATACATACCATCACATGTAATTGTAGGAACTGCGGTTGTCTTGCTGTTGGTACGCCGGATAATCCTTTCATCAAGGGCACTATATCGTCACTGGCTCGGCATAGAGTTAACCACGACGTCCTTAGTTATAAGAATCTACAGAACAGGTACCCGATGCTGTCGTTACCCCCCGATCACGTGGGAGTGTTGGACTACAGCGGCGGCGTTCTCATGGCAGATAAAGCTCTGCAGGCATTCCAGGTGACCTCTCCATTACAAATATCACGAAGAACTTTTGTACAGAGCTTTTGATTTCAACCATCTGTTCTTACCCTTTCTTTAGAAAATGTACGTCCGATATGGCGGTGAGTTACGAGACGGAGAGAAAGTGATTAACATTATTCCGGGTTCTGACGTCACTATAATAACGTCAAAGGGACAGTACAAAGCAAGAAAGCTTGTTCTTACGGTTGGGCCGTGGGCAACAAAACTTCTTCCTCAATTAGGGATACATATTCCACTGAAGGTAAATATCTGTAGCTTTTCAAAATTTTTCTTTGAATAAGCAATAATTTTTTACCTGTCTGTTTGTCCGCAAGAACTGAAACATTGTCCAGAACTTTTGAACGGCTGGTCAATTCCTTTGTAAAAAGTCTTTTATTAACATATTGACCTCTTCAACTTGGATATTGGCCTACTTTTGCTTAATTTTAATTTAGGCAGGTCAAACTCTAAGGTCAATAGATTAAAAAATGTTTCTTAGATATACGTAATTTAAGTCTTCACTATTTTTGTTAATCATACTGATTTGAATATTTATTGGATTACTATTTTTATTTCAGGTTGTACTTATTTCCGTACTTTACTGGAAAGAGAAAACGGCAGGAGAATTTTCATCTGATCGTTTCCCAGCTTTCATCCATGATGGAGAAGATATTCATGTTTACGCACTGCCTAGTCTAGAATATCCAGGGCATGTCAAAGTATATAAAAAATACTAGAATATTTGTCTTTGGATCTGTCTGTTTTGTCTGTAATTCTACTTATCTGTAGGTCAGTCTGTTTTGTGTGTAGGTCTGTCTGTTTGTCCATCTGTTTGTGTGTAGGTCTGTTTGTTTGTCCATCTGTTTTGTGTGTAGGTCTGTCTGTTTGTCCATCTGTTTTGTGTGTAGGTCTGTCTGTTTTGTCACTAGGTATGTCTGTCTGTTTTGTCTTCAGGTCTGTCTGTTTTGTCTTCAGGTCTGTCTTTTTGTCTGTTTGTCCATCTGTTTTGTGTGTAGGTCTGTCTGTTTTATCTGTAGGTCTGTCTGTTTTGTCATTAGGTCTGTCTGTTTTGTCTGTAGGTCTGTTTACATGTTGGTCCTGTCACTAATCCTGACAGTAGAGATAAAGCAGACACACGGGAGGTCATAACAGAGATGCAGCAGTATGTCAGCAAGTACATGCCAAGTCTGAAAAGCACGCCCTCCATCATTGAAACCTGCATGTACACAGTATGTTATTCTCCTTATAACTTTCTGAAGTGTTCATATCTTTACACCAGTGTATTAATCTATGCCCCCTTTCCATATGATTGACAACATTGTTAAACTCATTCATACTTTTGGTTTCCAAATTATTATGATTTTATATGATCTGTATTACCTCTTGAGCTTGATAATTGTAATCCTTTAATCAAATTTAAGTGCAAATCTACTTCCAAATTTCCTGGGACTAATTTTAGGCTGGAGTATCATACTATTCAATTCTCCAAGAATAATTATCTTTTCACCAAAAAAAAATCCACTCATTTTTCAGAACACCCCTGACAAACAGTTTGTGTTGGATCACCATCCTGCCTGGAAAAACATCATAATAGGAGCAGGGTTTTCAGGTAAATCAAAGAAACTGGTGATCAGTGTTGTAAATAAATGACAAATATTTTATAACAATGCTCCATTATACAGTTTGAGTGGAAATTGAACTTCAGAAATGTAGCTTAAGTTTTTCCTTTGTCAGGACATGGTTTCAAGCTGTCTCCAGTGGTGGGAAAAGTGCTGAGTGAGATGGTTATGGATAAATCACCTTCCTATGACCTTGCTCCCTGTCAGATAGACCGGCTCATACAACCAAAGTCACAACTGTAGAACAGAGAAATGTATTCAAGACTACAAGCTCATACAACTTCAGTCACAACTGTAGAACTCCAGTTTAATTTACCCAAGACTATCAGCTCCTACAACCAAAGTCACAACTGTAGATTTCATGAATATTTTACCCAAGACTTCAACTTCTCCATTATCTCATTATGTCATCAGACCTTTGTCCAGTAGTCTCTCCTCAAATCTACCAATGAAAACTATCTTATTTTGTCAAGAATTTGCTCAATTGTTCATGATTTAAATTCCATATTTCATGTCAAGGCAAATTTTAAATGGTTTTAAAAAGTGTTTACCAAATTTTAAAATAACATATTAAATCTGTTTGAATTTGTATCAATTCAAAATAAAATCTTAATTTTAAATTTTCATGAAAAACTGCATCCTCACTGCGTCACCCACAATATTTATACATTGTATATGTACTTGAACATAATTGTATAAATTGAAAATAAATTAAATCTTGAAACATTTTAGTGTTTATTCACATTTAGAGTTTATGAATAAAATTTCTAGGTTCAATATTAAGTAGTTTAACAATTTAATCTAACACAGGACTGGAATCAATCAAAAAAATATGTGCACCATATTAAAGATAGGCTTAATTAAATTGTTAACTAATATGAACTTAAAAATACCCTGCTAATATCCCACTTTTAAATTTACAACCCCACTTTTTAGTAGCATTTCACTATACAATTTCATCTTTATAAATTTGTCCTTTTTCTATACAGATGCCAATTTTTATTTTGGATGTAACAAGCACTACTATTGCTTTTATCATGATTTTAACAAAACAGCGACACAAGTTCATCACAGTGACAGGAAATAAATAAATAATGTCATCTCGGGAGGAGTTCACTCAAACTTCTCCTCGGCATCAGCACATCGAGAGTTCTTGAATTTGGAGAATTTTGTGATGATGTCTTCTATGCTGTGTTCACCGTGTACCTTTGTTCCTCTGGTGCGTACATTGGCTGTCTTGTTTTCAAACTCCTTTTCACCAACAACTAAAAATAATGTATAACCATCTTAATTTCATTTAAAATATTATTTGTTACTTTTATATCTACTTAGAGAATCTCTCATGTAAATACAGATTTCAATGGTAAAGTTTTAAGGTTCACTGATACTCAGTTATTTCAAATATATTTGATGATTTAATGAATGTAAAATATGAAAACACATTTTTTTTTCTAGTTGGAATTTGCTAATTTTCTCTTAATTAGATTAAAATCACAGATTTACAACCAAATTCATAAATATATTTAAATGAACTGTGTCCATCATAATTCTTTGTGTTGAAAGATGTTTATCCTCTTGATTTTGAATACAATAGCTGAATGGCACAGTTGAACACTGTCAAAGTTTCCCCGACTCACCTAGAATAAAATTATACTGAGCTAACTGTCCATTCCTGACTTTTTTGTTAAGTGTGTTGCCATCATCCACGTCAGCTTCACACATAAATCCAGCATTATGTAGCTGATCTCGAACCTAAAAACAAAAGTACAGGTAACTACATTTAATGTAACTGCTCTCAAACATCATGATATTTATGTACAAGATTTAATTGATAATTCACATATATATTCAATATAATGAAAAATGAATTACCTCTGATTAAAAACTTATTAACAAAAATTTCATAAGAAAGCTGTCTTAAGTCATTAGCAATCTAAACCTTTTAAATTGAAATTGTTAAAAAGAAGTTTAGAGCCAATCGCAAAACCCCTAAAGGATTACATTGTTTGTGACGAGCTGACGCTTTGCTTGTCGAGAACTTTAAATACTACGTCACATTCTCGCCACATCAAAGGACGTAACCGAGATCGCGACTCCCACGCTAAAGTCGGTCAGCTGCAACATACAGCTTGTTTTCGGGGTTCAAAAAATGGAGTAGACAGTCACGATGTCGTTTTCTTGAATGTTACCTGCAAAGTTTAAAGTTTTTTTTAACCTTGAATTAAACAAAAAGTTTTTTTAAACCTTGAATTTGAAAATGTAAAGATTTTTTTCAGTCCATTACGAATATTTCATTGGTCGATTATTTTATTCTATTATCGCAAAATTTACTTTTTTTTTCATATTTGCGAACAAATATAAAAGTCGAGTAGTGCATGATTCATTGATCATTAGATTTATTAGTTACGCGTATCAACCCAAGTCATGCATGCTGAGATTGTTGCAATTTGGTACAAAATATACTGGTGAAAAATTGATACCCTCTTTATGCGTATATTCGAGAGAAAAGATAAAGAGGGAAGGCCTGGGAAGACGTGTCGATTTACCTTCAAATTTTAACGATTGAAGTTCAATTTATTTTTAAGTTTTAACGAATGTTGTATGTACAAGGTAATTAATACCAAACGACGGAAAATATCTAATTATCATGGGCGTCGGAAGCAAATTAAAGTGGGGGCTAAGGGTTTATAAGGAATTTTTTTTAGACCTCCCAAAATAACCTGAGAAGCAAAAAAAAAAAAAAAAAAAAAAAACCAGCACACAAACAAAAACAAGGGATGTGTATTTTCAAAACACAAAACTCCTATTTCGTGGGTATACCTACGCAGCAATGTTCAATGTCTATACTAAGTCTAACTTTGGATAAGCCCCCCCCCCCCCCCCACTTTCCGCTCGCTCGGTTTCGACGCCTATGTCAAAAAGCCTAAATCTAATTCCTAGAGATGGGCCTGGCAGATTTTGAAAAATAAATAGACTGTTCTCGAAAAAAATTAAAAATAAATGCACAATGATTTTCACGAATTGATATTTTTAGTATATACATGTACTAAAATAACATGAACAATAATTTTCACGAATTGATATTTTTAGTATATACATGTACTAAAATAACATGAAACTGTTTACTTAAGCGGTTGTAAAGTATCTTAAAGCGTAAAGCCTTTCAATGAACCTTTCGAACAATATGTTTGAAACGAAAAAAAAGTAGGGTGGGTCGAGGGCTGGCCCTTATGTTATGTGCCCGTCAGATCTAACGTATTTGAAGGGAAAAAACGAATCGGATTTAAACGAGAGCATACCCCCTCCCCCTTATACTTTTTCGCCAATTTACTTGTCTGTGCTGTATGTAACACAACAAAGTTAATATCAATTAGTCTTTATTATCTCACCTGTGCTGAAAGCTCAAAGTGACCTTTTCTGATCACATTTTGCCCGATGTCCATTTATCCGTTTTTAAACTTTTCACATTTTCGAGTTCTTCTTTAGAACCACTGGGCCAATTTTAAGCAAACTTGCAACAAAGCATTTTTTGGTAAATGGTATTCAAGTCTATTCAAATGAAGGGCGACTTCTTAGAGAAGATAATTCAGAAAATATGAAAATTTGCAATTGATGACATGTTTTAAAAATCATCTCAAGAATCACAGTGCCAAGAATGTTGAAACTTATGGAAGAAAATTTCAAGAAGTGAAGATTAAAGTTTGTTCACATATACTCCCTGGGACCACTTATGGATTTAATGGATTTAAACTTTCAATACTAAGCTGATTTCTGCTATTTTCTTAGCCACGGTGCTCAGGTAAGCGATGTAGCCCATGGGCCTCTTGTAGTTCCACTGCGTTAGTACAATATAAATATTCATTGAATCGCATAATTATTAAAAGTTGTCTTAGCATTTGATAAAGTTGTCCCACAGTTGCTGAAATCGCACCTGTTTTTTTTCCATGCTAACCCCCCCCCCCCCCATATATGGGGGATATGTTGCTGTTTGAAAAAAAACTCTGCGTACGTAGTGCTCAGTATGGGTTCCCTGTTATGGGTATTTACATGTTCTTATAGAAATCTCAGTTTTATAAAGGATTGCAAAAAATGTGCTTTTGAGTACTTTTCTACATAATGCACAGTATTTAAAAAAACTCTGCAGCAGTGCATGTATGTCGTATATGATCAATCAGAATGGATTTAATGTGTGCTTACTGAAAATTAAAAAATCAGAGACTGAGTGCTAAATTAACGAAAATACCTGATCATATTTTAAACATCACTGATGCAATGTTCAGTGAAATACATATATATCCACTGAAACGTTTCCTGGAGAGAGAGAGAGAGAGAGAGAGAGAGTTATTCATGTGTGTATTTTTTAAAGTAAAACTATGCACCCGTTCTAATTTAGTATTTTGACATAATTATTGACAATTGTGAATAGACATACTTCTCTTCTTGACAGAAATGTTCTTTTATATATGGATACTTAAAGTACAAGTACATATCATACTGATATAATACGGCTGTTTGGGGTATACATGTAAAAAAAAAATCTATGTATACTAAGTTCTTAAGTCTCAAGTTCATGGTTTGATACTTAAACGGAATATTTCTCTTTTCCACAGAAAAATCATTTCACATCAACAGTACTAGTGATTTGAAACAATTAAAATACTACACAATCCAAGAATGACCAGGACGAATACTTAAAACCCAGCAATTTAAATTGATCATGTACATCCTTTTATATCGCATATATACCGTGCCATATACACAAATGGTAAATGCTATAAAATTAAATTTTCAAGGCTTTAATTTATTATGGACTCTAAAAAATGCATATAATATAAATAATGCTCTTTTTAAACTGTTTAATAAGATTTGTGTTTTCTGTCCCCTTTTGTAAACTCGTTAAACGTCGGCGATGTGTATTGCAGCTGACCGACTTTAGCGTGGGAGAGACGCTATCTCGGCTACTTCCTTTGATGTGGCAAGAATGTGACGTAGAATTTAAAGTTCTCGACAAGCAAAGCGTCAGCTCGTCACAAACAATGTAATCCTTTAGGGGTTTTGCGATTGGCTCTATTTAAATTAAATTTTGTTCTGTACATAACTCCTAGACATTTTATTTAAGGATACACCAAAGGCTTTTTTCAAGATTTTTGTCAATTTTGAGATTTTTGGCTAAGAAAACAATGCTAATCACTGCTTTATAATGCATGAAAAATTCTTGCTGATTATTAAACGGTTTTCTAATTATTTAACAATAATCAAACATAAACACTAACACATGTGAATGTGCCGTTATTGAAGCTTCTGATTTGGTCTGTAACTGCCTGCTTCTGAAATGAGCAATAAATCACTGTGACCACTTGGGGAATTCTTCACTAGCCACACAGAGGCTATCAGTAATTAAACTACAGGGACTCTAGATTTAGGGAAGGAGATCTAACAGGTCACTAATGACCATGAAATAGGAGGTGGAGCTTAGCTCTTGCCATTTTGCCGGGAAATCTTTCTGATTCAGAATTGAACCTATTTTACTTCATTAAAAGCACCTAAATAAAGAACAGAACCTCCCATTCTTGTGAATATGCATAGGAAATATCGATAAGTGACAGGTATCCAAAGCTGAATCTCTGAGGTGTCATATATTTCCAGCTTTGGCAGACTTTGTTGTGTAACGGGTTTTTGCCCTCTACTGTAAAGTAAGATCAGACAGTTGGTGGTATTATTTGAAAGGATTCAGCTCTCTTATTTATTGACCAATTTCTCTGAAAACTGGCCAGAATGCGTCTCAAATGTGTGTTCACAAAACCGTATCTCAGATTTTTGATATCTTGCTCAGTTCTCGAATTATTGGGGGAAATGTAGAATTAGGCTAATAAATTGGTAACATTGAAAGACAAATGGATGTAACTTTTGAATAAGAAGATTTATCAAAAATCTGAGATACGGTTTTAAAGTTCAATCTTTAGTCTACATTGAGGCAAAATTTTGACTTTGAGAGGTGGAATACAAAAAAGTTGATTTATAAAATATAAATGCACTAATATTTACATTAAAATATTAATAATTTTTTAATAAGATAAAATTGAAAATTTAAATTAAGATCATAAAATAGTGAATTTAACAAGCTTTCAAATGATATATACTTTTAATACCCTAAAATCTTGAAAATAAGACGGATTTAATAATAAGCCGGTTTTGAAAATAAGCCACCCATTTCTTGCATTAAAAATTACTCGAAAATAAGCCAGTTTTGAAAATAAGCCGGTCATGACAATGCCATTTAGGAAAGATGTTAAACCTTTGACGATTATCTCATCTTAAAAATCTGACAAGTGAAAACTTTCGATATTTATTTACTGTGCAAAATAAAAAGTTATCTTTCTTTAATTCGTTAACCTTTACCAATTTCTGCATATGACATAGTACGAACGAGTAACGATGTCACAGTAGAACTAAGTCTAAGAACTAAGTCAATTTCATTGTATACAGCATATAACGATGTCACAGTAGAACTAAGTCTGTAGCTACTAATAAACTTATGTAAAATTACAAAATAAAGGGTTGTTTATAAAGTTCTTTTTTTTTTTACCAGTAATCATGTCGCGCTGGTTAAAAAAAATTGATTACGGAACCAGCTTAAACGGTGATTTTTTTTTCATGAAATTGTCAGAACAATAATTATCTCATCAAGACCTGTACAAGCTAATGATGTGTTTGGGGTGGTAATTAAATAAGTAAATGGATAAAAGGAAGTTTTTGTTTGTAAAGCATTGAACTGCCAGGTAATACTGCCCGAAGCAAGAAACCTGCTGATCGCCGGGCAGGGCTTGGTAGTAATTAAATTTCAATGTACCGTATAGTTGAGTTGTTTAGATATGTGTTAGACTGTTAGTTTGATTAAATATCAAGTAATTCAATTGCAAGCGGATATCTTATATATTATTTTTAATTTTTTTAAAACAAGTTTATATTTCAAATAAATTCATACGCTGTATACAATGAAATTAACTTTTCGGGATCGACATTCTCAAAATATAAAGTAGACAATCCTAAAGAACGTACACCGGGAAACACCAATGAATACAAGAGTGCTCTCTTCCCTTACCAGTTTTTTGCATTGATAATAAGCCGCAATTTGAAAATAAGCCGGTCTTGAAAATAAGCCCCCACTTTCTTACCAAAACTCAAAATAAGCCGCGGCTTATTTTCAAGATTTTAGGGTATGTTATCTTTGTTAATGAAAGAATTACAAGCAAATTAAATTTTGCCCTTTGGAAACCTTTGGTGTATCCTTAAGGATGGAAACAGTCTCTGTATTTTATTTTACCTGAATAGCGTAATCATTAAAAGGTGGAGCCACCGGGATAACGATACACTGCCTGGGAGACAACCAGAAAGGCCTAAAAAGTCAGAGAACAGAATAAATAGGTACATAGTACTAAGGACAAGAGAGGAAATAGGAACTCCACAGGCCTAAAATAATACAAACAACAAAACTCTTAAGTTGATTTCTAAAGATCATTTAGATAATATGGATATCTTTTCACCCTGATATATAAACTGAACTTTGTTACATTAATAGTCTTAAACAAGCACAGAATTTTTCCAATGAGATTTTTGATAACTTGGTACTTTACCATTTTCCTCCGTAGTTTTCACAGAGGATGGCAATCATTCTCTCTACAGATCCCAGGACAGCTCTGTGTATGATGACTGGTCTCTTCTTCTCCCCCTCCTCTCCCCCACTACAACAGGGGACAGTATTAATAGAATAACATACTATACTATCTCCACTACAACAGGGGACAGCATTAATAGAATAACATACTATACTATCTCCACTACAACAGGGGACAGCATTAATAGAATAACATACTACACTATCTCCACTACAATAGGGGACAGCATTCATAGAATAACATACTATACTATCTCCACTACAACAGGGGACAGCATTAATAGAATAACATACTACACTATCTCCACTACAACAGGGGACGGTATTAATAGAATAACATACTACACTATCTCCACTACAATAGGGGACAGCATTAATAGAATAACATACTACACTATCTCCACTACAATAGGGGACAGCATTAATAGAACAACATACCACACTATCTCCACTACAACAGGGGACAGCATTAATAGAATAACATACTACACTACCTCCACTACAACAGGGGACAGCATTAATAGAATAACATACTATACTATCTCCACTACAACAGGGGACAGTATTAATAGAATAACATACTATACTATCTCCACTTCAACAGGGGACAGTATTAATAGAATAACATACTATACTATCTCCACTACAACAGGGGACAGTATTAATAGAATAACATACTACACTATCTCCACTACAACAGGGGACAGTATTAATAGAATAACATACTATACTATCTCCACTACAACAGGGGACAGCATTAATAGAATAACATACTATACTATCTCCACTACAACAGGAGACAGTATTAATAGAATAACATACTATACTATCTCCACTACAACAGGGGACAGCATTAATAGAATAACATACTACACTATCTCCACTACAACAGGGGACAGCATTAATAGAATAACATACTATACTATCTCCACTACAACAGGGGACAGCATTAATAGAATAATAGAATAACATACTATACTATCTCCACTACAACAGGGGACAGTATTAATAGAATAACATACTATACTATCTCCACTACAACAGGGGACAGCATTAATAGAATAACATACTACACTATCTCCACTACAACAGGGGACAGCATTAATAGAATAACATACTATACTATCTCCACTATAACAGGGGACAGTATTGATAGAATAACATACTATACTATCTCCACTTCAACAAGGGACAGCATTAATAGAACAACATACTATACTATCTCCACTACAACAGGGGACAGCATTAATAGAATAACATACTATACTATCTCCACTACAACAGGGGACAGTATTAATAGAACAACATACTATACTATCTCCACTAAGACAGGGTATATATGGTATTGTTAATAGAATTACATACTAAACAATTACCCAAATACATACATGTACCAGAGTGACGATTAATAAGGCTTGTCATGTTTAACTACATTGATTTGATATGAAAATGTAGGATCTATGATTATCAGTTGTGAAATGCATGTACAAGGCTTTGGCGTTGAATGATATGTTTAAAATCTTTTGACTGGAGCAATTTACATGTGCAAAATATTTCATTCTAAAAGTTTGCATCTTTGTACTAAAAATCAAGATTGCAGACAAAAATTATTTATACAGCAAAACATGTAAATGTATAGACAGTTTTGCTTTGTTATAAAAACACTTTTTTTTATTTACTCTATTCACAATACTTTTTAAAACAGTGACAAATGGAAATCACATTTGTAAGATTCATTTGTAAGATATTAGAAATGTACTCAAAAGAAAGGTCATCACGATAAAGAATATATTTTTTATCACAACAAAGTGCCTATATTTCCAATGGACACCTTAACTGTGAATTACCTGACATAATGAAGATCAAAGCGAATAGGTAACTGGAAATCTAGCTGAATAGTGGCACATTGATGGGGCCTCCTCATGGCATCCATAATGATAATGTCAATCTGTACATACAAAAGAAAAACTTTTATGAATTCATCGAGTTCTTTCCTTAAGGAGTCCTAATATAATAATAAAATTCTCAGCTGTACCTTGGGTCCATAGAACGCACCATCTCCAGGATTCAGCTCCCATTTATACCCGGAGGCATCTAAACTTTCCGACAGTTGCTAAAACACACAGAAAAATACATCTAAAATCTCCGTCAATTGCTAAAACATACAGAAAATTCATCTAAACTCTCCAACAGTTGCTAAACTTTACATTTTTGTCTAAAATGGCTCATTTCTGGAATTTTGGAATTCAGTCAAAATAACAAAATATTTCAAGCCATTTCAAGACACTATACATTGATTGCAGTTACACTTGTATTAATGAACTACAAACACAAAAACCTGAATGACACCTTTGAAGGAAGAAATACAACCACTTCAAAGATTATGTACTTTGAACCTCTCATGAAAGAATCAAATAAAGAATTGCTTTTAACTTAGGAATTTCCCTAAAATGATGTTACATTTTAAAAGTTGACCAATCACTGTGATCAACATCTTGATGTCCTTAGCTAGAGACAGTTTCCTAAGTAACCTACCTTTTCTGCTGCATCCCACATCTCGATTTCCCCGAGATATTTCTCTGGTCTGGTAGACAGATACAACTTAAAGGTGAAACCAAACACATCATACACAGCCTTAAGGAAATCTAAGCATCCGGCCATTTCTTGCTTGATCTAGAAAAAAAAAATAAAATAAAATGTTCATTAATTACATAGGATTGAAAATAATATTTCCTTCTAAATATTTGGGATATAATTTTCTGATAGACACAGTTCAGAGGACTAAATTGATACTTATGTGACCTTCCAGAGTTAGTGAGAACTAATTATAGCTATAAGTGACCTTTCAGAGGTAGTGAGGACTAGATTGGTAACTTTGTCACCTTTCAGAGGTAGTGAGGACTAGATTGGTAACTTTGTCACCTTTCAGAGGTAGTGAGGACTAAATAGAATACTATGTGACCTTTCAGAGTTAGTGAGGACTAAGTAGGTAACTTTGTCACCTTTCAGAGGTGGTAAAGAATAATTTGTATGTTTGGTTACCCAAGTCACTCAATTCACCAGAGATGCTATGAGCTCTGAAACTTACCAGATGTAACAAAATTTTGGTACAAAGCAATACAGATCATATTGTAAAAACTTGTTAGTGCTTGTTTCCCCCTCTGGACTTGAGGTGTAGGGTTAAACCACCAAAATGTATGTTCTCTTTAAAATTCTCTTTACTCGTATGAATTTGCCAAAAAAACATGTTCATGATCATAATGAAAGAACTTAGCCCTGGATTCAGGGGAAGAAAAACTGCTTATAATATTTCAAGGAGCAAAAGCTCTTATATATTGTAGCTGAAGAAGTTTGCATGTAACATATCAGTTGCTCAATACTTGTGCAAAAGTATTCAATTCGTTGATGCAGGATATTTGCAAAATAAAAACTAAATTTTTTCAATGAAACCACCTTTTTTTAATTTTTGTTGAAGAACTTACCTGTTCAGGCATACAGAATATGTGAGCATCATCTTGCTGAAATCTGCGGACTCGAGTGAGCCCACTGAGTGCTCCGGACAGCTCATTTCTATGTAACACCCCAAAGTCAGCCATCCTGAGGGGTAGCTCACGCCATGACCGCTGACGATGATCAAACATTAGACTGGAAAATCATTTAAAGACACAAAATGTCATCAACAATTAAACAGAAAAAAACAAGAAGAATATAATGCCAAGACAATGTTTCCCACAGTATTTACCAGTGTCCTGGACAATTCATTGGCTTCAAAGCAAACTTTTCCTTTTCAACATCAAACTGAAACAAGTTTTCCTAAGAAAAGAAATTATGTTAACATGAGGTCATTTTCACAATTAACCATTAATTTCAATGTTACTCAAACACAAATTTAACGTAACATCGCTGTGATAATTAAACAAATTAGACCAAAGGGGAAAAACTCTAAACATCAAGTTTTAAAAGAAAATCATAGCATGTTCAGCAAAGAGAAATCTCTACATTATAAACCTTCAAATTAAGCAGGTTGAATTTTTTTATTTAAATTTGTGTGACTTTGTGATTCCGTGCTTAAAATGAGATGTGAGACAAAGCTTTCACATTTGTACCGCGTAATGTTGCCAGTGGCCAGATCTTTCCCACAGTTTACAGTTGTAGATGTTCGGGGACACAACTTCCTGGAACCCTCGCTTTCTGTACTCACTCTATCAAACAGATAAATGTCAAAGTACAAAGAATCTGAGACCTCCAGTCAACATGAGCGAGTCATATTACTTCTTCATAGTAAGCTTACTAGAAAATACAACCAGCTTCAGCTTACCTTGATAAAGTCTACCAAGGTGTTGTATATATAGGCTCCCTTTGGTAAGAAGAAACAACTTCCTGGACTGAGCTCGTGGAAAAAGAAAAGTTCTTGTTCCTAAAACAGAAAAGTTATTTTTTAATTCCTTATAAGATCTTACCTGTTTGATTTTCTCACTTTATACCTCCTTACACTTACTCCTGTCATTCAGCACTGAGACCTTAACATTTTTTTCCTTATTAGTAGACAGTGAACTCACCCTGCCGATTTTTCTGTGGTCTCTCTTGGCGGCCTCTTCCTGGAAATGTTTCCACTCTTTGAGCTGCTTTGGATCGGGGAATGAGATTCCGTATATTCTCTGTAGAGACTCAGCATCAGCCTTACCCTCCCAATATGTGGCTGAGCTCTGTCAAAAATACACACTACCTAAATACCAGTACATGTATACATACTAACTACCTTAGTACATGTACACTACTCCAAGTAAACAGATCAGCTCTGTAAGAATATAGTAACTACTTTATTTAATACATGAACATTACTTTCAGTAAATGGATGAGCTCTGTACAAATTTACTACCTATGTAAATGTACATCACTACCAGTAAGTAAATATACCACCTACCTAAGTATGAATATACTACCTATGTAAATGTACAGTACATCATTCCCAGTAAGTGAATGAGCTCTGCAATTTACACCAACTACCGAAGTACATGTATATATATGTATAATTTACAGACTACCTTGCTCCCAGTAAGTTTAAGAGCTCTGTAGGAAGATACTAAGTACCTAAGTACATGTACGTGTTAATTGCTCCCAATTGGTAGACAAGCTCTGTAAAAATATACTAACTACATAACATCTTGTCCGCTTATAAACAGTTACTTAAGTTGTTATTCACAGTCACTAGTGCATCAAATTTTATGTATTTAATCTATTTTTTTTTTTTACCTTGGTGACACAGAAAGACTTGATTTTTCCTGTGTGTCTTACGTGTGGTCCTCTACACAGATCAATTAATGGTCCACATCTACAAAATATCAACACATCAATGGCATTCAGGACATATAAAGAATTGAATATTTTTACATTTCTGTTCAATGGTTGAAACATATTGAATATTCTTAATTTTTTTTTTTTTTACATTTTTTGAGGTCAAAATTATAAAAATTTTAAATGCAAAGTGAAAACACTAAAATTTAGCAACACCTTATTTTCGTGAGACAGTCACTGTCTCTCTATGAGCGAGACAAAATTTTCACAAATTTTGGTTATTGCCCTATATAATCCATAGGAATACTAACATATATGCAAGAAGGATATTTTCACAAGCACACTGTCTTGAAATTAAAGTTCTCGCAAATGAAAAGTGATTAACAGTAAAAGAGAAGGGAACATCGTAGTGAACTCTGCCTGTGGATAGACTACTTACTTGTATACAGTGGTGGTCGGGGTGGTGACTTTCTCATTCAGAATTCTCTGTTTAAACTTATTGTACTACAATAAAGCACAATCTGATATTAGCTGTACAGCAACACTGACACATATGTACAGCTAATATCAGCATATATACCGGTACACTATATAATTCGATATCAATATATGTTCAAACTTAAAGAAAATGGGGCTTAACTTGAAATCACAAATTATGACTAATTTTTAAGCATATATTTATTCTATTTTGATTTCCACAAATTACATGTACAGCATTAAACCTGTTAACTCTTTCAACACTGAGTAACTTTTATCAAGCAACCCCAGTACACTGAGTAACTTAAGCCATCATTGGAAAATTCATCTGCCGTTAGAAAAAATACAATAACTCCTTTATTTATTAAAATATTTTAATAAAAGACACATCATAAGAAAGGTAAGACATTTTTCTTTTAGATGGTATGAAATTTATATGCATTTAAAATTATTTAACAAGACAAAAGCGCCAATGAAAAATAATATGTCTTATTTTGAATGATCTTATGTAATATTTTGATAAATTTGCTGCTATGAAGTTTCAAAATCACATAAGTTCTTACCATCGTTTAAAAGAGAAATTATTCCCGATTAAAATGATATGCAATATGTCATTATTCTTTGAAAAAGTAAGTCCAAAAAATAAATAAATAAAAACATGATGTTCTTGTATATTGAGGGAAGTCCGGGGCTTCATAAATGTGGTCCGTCTTGGAGCCTTCATAGTCCGATTCCAAGTCGAGTTTCTCCTACTACCTTTCACAACAATGTTTATTAGGCATATCTTTAATGTCTATGAACGTTTATAATGTCCAAATCCCCATATTTTCTTAAGATTTCGTCACCAGAAACATCAGACATTTTGATATTTACCGCCATTTTGCTAGTTTCTTTGTTTCCTTTAAAATTCGTCTAATTTTTCCTTTTTTCCATGATTTTTGCCATGTGGTCCGCCATATTTGTTACAGGATGTTTATATCAATCTACCCATAATTCATAGCGAAGATTTTGCGCAGAGAATACTTTCTATTTCTAAGAATAAACATGTTACTTTCAGTTTTGTGTCTGAAACCTCCACAACGGTCTACCGTGTTGAAAGGAGAAATTTTATCAGACCGTTGTGGAGGTCTACAGTGTTGAAAGGGTTAAGGTCAAAATCAAATACATAAACATTATTGCTGTTACTCTGCTGGATTGACTAATTTGTCTGCAGTTGCTGAGCAAGCTTCTGTGATTAACAGTATTCCTGACATTTTGAGTTCACACACCTCTATACAATATGATTTGGTCATATATAACTCTTTTTGATTACTCTTTAGAGAAATATGTTTATTTTTAATGGGAAACTCTTTTAGTACAATAAGTTTCAATTTCCTATGATAGTTTTTTCCCCCATGTTCCATGACTTCAATATAAAATAAGTACTTCCTTGTTTACACAAACTATATTGTTTGTTGTTTAACATCCCTCTCAATATTTTTCACTCATATGGATACCTTATTAAACAACAGTTAAAATTCTTACATCAAACATTTTAAGTAAATCCTCCTTTTTCATCTCCAGTCTCTCAAAAGGTTGTTTCTCTTTAATTATTCCTTTGACTTTGTCTTCTATACTACTGAAATCATTGCTGGACACTGCAGCACTGAAAAAAAATAAAATTCTAATAATAAAATGTGTAATGCCAAATTTGATACTACCATAATAACTAGTTGTACTACCAGTTTAATAGCCAATGTCCTTGCAGAAGAAAAAACACTTCAACAACAATTTATTACCCAGATAATGGCATGAGACAATACACTTTATGGATGCATCATTATTTCATTATAAAAACTTTGATGGTGATGTGTATTGTGTGCAAATGAAACAATCTGTTTGTTGATTCTACTGGCAATTAATGAACAAAGGTACACTTCATACTGGTGTGAATGTAAATCAACCTAAAAAAATTATGAGTAAAAACAGAAAATTTAGAGGGACTATACCTTTCACAAAACATGTCGTAATAAAATCCCTCTTCTATAGGGGGCCCATAACACAAATGTCCACCATACAATTTCTCCATAGCTTCCCCTAGTATGTGAGCACTGGAGTGCCAGAAAACATACTCCCCTGAAAAACACACAATACAGAGATAAAAATAGTGTTTACAAACAATACCTAACATGTTATTTCCAATTATGTAACAATAAAACTCACACTGAAATAAAACTCACAAAAAACTGTCAAAACCAAACATTGATCTAAACTGTTTTCAGTTTCATCGCTTCAGAAAGTATTGTTTATTTTTATTCATCATTATAAATAAAAGCCTATTGACCAGGAATTGTTGTTCTTACTGGTTAATTTTCTACAAATCTTAACAAGTATCTGATGTCAGTCACTAAACTAATTCACTCGAATTATTTTTTTTTAACATGAACTTCATATTTCAATTTTGAGTGCAATTTCACAATTTTTATCTAAATCTAAAATTTCCTACCATCTTTGTCATCAAACTTTAACAATTGTAGGGTTGAGTCTTTCTCAAAAGGCCTGTCCAGGTCCCATAGTTCTCCATTCACCTTTGCCACAACAGTGTTGTCAGCCAAACCTTGGCTAAAGAAAATGAAGTATATGAATACATTGTCAATTAGGGCACTTCACCAATATGAAATGCACCATGTTTAATATCTAATAATGTAAAAAATGTGACAAAAACTCACTACAAAATCATTAAATGTAATCTTAGTTCATAAAAATCATTGAGTCTTATCAGAACACTCATAAAACTTTTATTCATCGTAGATGGATTGTTATTTCTCACCTGATGCCTTTGGCGACCTCGTAAGGGGTGGTTTTCCAGGCCTGCCCGTCCACCTGTTTACCGTCAGGGAGGGTTACTTTGATGGGACCCTGGGGCTGAGCAGCCACCCACTTATCATAATCAGCCTTCAGCTGCTGCCACAGTTTTTCTCTGTGTTCTATAAATTCTGGAGGAGGCACCAACTGTAAAATGAATTACTTTATAGCATTTTGTAAAATTATTATTAAAAATAAAACTTTTAACCAAACTAGTTACACTAATCTTTATACCAGATGGAGAAAGGAAACCAGAATTCCTTAAGACTCTACTTCTATTTGCTTGAATTTATTACTAAGGAGAAGTTACATTTGAACATAGAACATACCAACAGCAGTGTGCGAAATAAGTGGTTGACGGATAGACAAATTACATAGAAAATGCAGACTGTCTATAGCAATTAAATTGAAATAACATGGGTTTGGACAGTGTATGCTTTGTGGTAAAGCATAAACTGCCAAAACTAAAATAACACCATTAATTAAAATCATATATGGCATATTTTTGATAAGTTCAGACTAACTTAAATTACTAAGATCTTTCTATTTGTTTTGTTACTTTATACAATAAAGGACATTCCTGTAAATTACACAATTTAAATTGATCGGGTTTCATAGATATCTGAGATTTAAAACAATAACCAATTTTTTTTTTACTCAGAATTAAATATCAGACACAGTTTAAATTCACTTTAAATATAGAAACGTGGGGATATTTCAGTTCCAAATCAGTGAAAAATTTAATTTTAAAAATTAAATTCTGTATGAGTATGTTCATATGGCGGTACTACGAATCACCGGAATGCCCTGTAATCACCGAAATGCCCCAAGAAATCACCGAAATGCCACCGAAAAGCCCCTTATATTGTCAAGAATAAACAAAAAAATAATAAATATTGATGGAATTAACTGTTCTAAAGCCTAAATACCAAGTAAAAATTTCATAATTTTAGCGTAAGTATTTTTATTTGAAGATATGTGCCTGTAAGTATCAAAGAAAGATAACTCTCACTGATTAAAGACACGTGCCAAAATAGTTTTATTTATTTTAATTTTCCCTCTTTTTCGTTTAAATATATTCCTAACAATAAGTTATTCTTTATAAAAAAATTATTTGTAATATTGTTGACGTATTTTCTTGATTTCTAAAAAAAGGAGGACATATGTGTAATTTTAATAGAAAATCCTATATTAACAATGTATATATTAAGTTACATTTATAATCAAATAGAAAAATTTTACGTTTATAGTATGTAAACAAAAATATATGCCATATACGACTTTAATCAAAATTTATTTTTTAATCACTGAACTATAAGATTATAAGCTTGGTATAATCAGGGACTTATATATGTCCCTGGTACATTATTTAATTTACAAGGATCGATGGAAATGGTTGATAGTGTATGATAAATATTACATGTATAAATCAAAGTTTTGCTGATCCAATTCGTAAATAAATGACATTAAATTATGTTCACACTATTTCTGCGGAAAATAAATCATTATACACTTTTTTTCATTTCAGCACAGAAAAGAACTGCAATATTGAAAGAAATTTAATAGAATATATAAAAATTAAATATTTATTTCATTTTTGTTATATAAGATAACAAACTTTTTTGGAAGTTTCATATTTTACTATAAAAGAAAAAAGAACGAAGACAAAATTAATTTGATTTTATTGTGTTCAATTGGTTTGAAACAATTGGATGTCTGAAATAATATGTTTACTGTGTATACACAGTGATTAATTAATTGATCTAGAGACAGGTGTGTAGTACTCTTATGTCATGTTACATATATATATAATCAGGTACATGACAATCAGTGACCGAAAGTACGCACGTGCGTTATACAAACACAGGAAAGGGGATCTTTAAATTTGCTAATGAACAGTTTACTACATCAATTGAAAATGAAATAGTAAAAGTTGACAATTTACCGTAATTTTTTTAAGTTGTTGAATGGGTGGAATATAGACATTACATGATTTATCAAGCACTTCCTACTTCCGAAATATTTGCCACAATACAAGAGGAACGATCCGTAATTGACCTGACTGACAATGTATCTAATCAATTGCCAGTAACAAATTAAAATAAATATTTATTTTAAAAAATGAAAACATTTTCATTGCTTAACGTAGTACAGAGTTTAAAAACTTATTATTTTTCTTTTGTGATTGCATTTGTCTTTTGAAAATCTTTCATATCGATCGTAAATTATCACAGGAGTTGGTTTACCGGTACCTTCTCTCTCTCTCTCTCTCATTTTGTTTGGTAAAACATTAACTTTATAGTCCTTAAAATAAGATATTTATAAAAGATAAATTTACTCCATAAATAATGACGGGTATTTAGATTTTACCGCCAGACCTACATGTATTTCCCCAGACAGGCGTCGGCAGGCGTATAAATTGTCCAACCTGGTTCACAAAAAGTCAATTAAAAAGGAAGAAAGAAAAAAAATAAAAGAAAAGGACACAAACATTTAATAAAAAAAACTTAAACAAATCAAAATTCCCCAAAACTTCAACTAGTTAAATGAACAGTGTACGTATGATATATGTATCTGTAATAATAGCATGTGCACTTGACTATAAAAATTAAGACTAGGAACCTATACAAACCATATTTTAACATTACATTATTAATCAAAGGTCATAAAACAATAATCGTGACGTGTGACAATCACTTGTCATCATTTTTTTTTTCTGAGAAATATCATTATTATTATATATATTAGCATGATTAGGCTCCGTAGATCTTGCTTCCTAGAAACAAATACGAGTTATCTCCCTTTGAAGTACGCGAGCACAAAACCTGAAAATAATTAATTTTACCGTCAGTTATGCTTTAATGATAAAAATAAGAATTAATTTTTATGAAAAACATCATGTAAAAACATATGTGTGGGCATTTCGGTGATTTTGTTGGGCATTTCGGTGATTTGTAAGGGCATTTCGGTGATTACAAAATTGGGCATTCCGGTGATTCGTGTTACCCTTCATATGGTTATGTTTTTTTTTATGTTGCCCCATACTCTGGCAATACAGGTACAGATCGAAATTGTTTGATAATGTCTGAACATTGAAAATATTAACAGGTAACTTACAAAGGACAAAGTGGGGAAAATGAGCGTTACGCCGACAACTTGAGATAACTCTTAGGAATGTGAAATTCGTATAACGCAGTTAACTTACGTCTTTCAATTTGCCTTTGGTCTCTTTGTCCATTTTCTTCGATTTGGATCCCTAATTTAAAACAAAACAAGTAATACACTAATTGTTACCTGTGGATACAAACAATTTTGATATAATAATTGATGAAATATTGTGTCAAGATCGATCTCTCCAAATATTATGCCATTAGTGAATGATGATGAAATCGGGTCCAGAAAAAACACACCCTGCTTGGGCTAGCAAGGAACTTTGGCCCTAGTTTCCTTGAAATACGGAAGAGAATTGACTTTGAAAGCATTTTGAATTGATTTTGAAGACGAAAATTGTCATGCCTTTTTAGGATCAGACACACTCATCTTTTCAAGTTGCTCTTCTACTTTCTGTTCGGCCATGCTGCCACGACAGTTCTTTTGCGCATGTGCATTGGGGGTTCAGTGCCGATTCTTAACTAGCACGTACTATGATCAATTCGGACTTTGTCAAGCCTTGAAAAAGCCCTAGCGCATTTTATTTTAATAGTCACTTTCTCCTACTCAAGTAGTGATTTTTTAAATACAATGTTTAACCAAAACTTTGTCTTACAAAGTTAGTTTATACAAGCCCTAAAGCAAATCACACAAAAATAATATTCAAATATTAATAGTTCCTTCATATGATACATATAAAAATCGTTCAGTTTATATGAATATAGTAAATACTGAGGTACCCCCCTTAAACAATGACGAACTGTTGCAAAAGACCACCCTTAACCAGAGAAACAACTTTTGAATAATTTTATTTGGATATGACTGCACTTCATTACATTTAGATAATTTTGGTTAAAGGTGGTCCTCATATTTAAAATGTTGAAAATATGTATTTAATTTTCTTCTCAAGATCATTTTAAGATTCAACAATCTGTCTGAAATTTATCCCAGCGATTTTCAATACTTCGTGGCGTAGTAGTATGATTGCTGGATTGTAAACATAATGATCGTGAGTTCGAGTCTTACTGTGTGTTTTTCGTTCTTATTTCGCTATGATTTTATTTTTTTTTCTCTCTGTGCATTTTTCCTATGTTTTCTTTTATCATTTTATAATACATTTATAAATAATGTAAGAGATATATAATACAACATTACACCTTAATTGAAACTATCTTGGGAAAATAAGTCCTAAACTATTTTAATGACCCAAAGTCATAGCTGCTATCTTGTTTTATATTTATATTATTTTCTCAAAGTCTTGTTTAGAATAAGAGCATTGAACAAGTAAATGATTGTCATATAACAAACTTGCAACTATGAAAATATAACACTGGTCCACAAATGATTACATACATGTAGGTTGATCTTGAATTGAAAAGGATTACCTTTGAGTCGGCCGTATCGTCGGTAAGGCAGCTATGGCTCTTTTTTTATGGCTCCTGTGAGGCCCTAAAGTGAAATTAAATTTTAAACTTGCTAGTTACAAAAATCCACAAGCTAAAATTTGCTAGTGGCCAAAAAAGTTAATTTCGATCCCTGCTTGTGGCATGATCTTTCTTTCGGGTACTACCAAACTTAACCTCTTGATCTTGACCTTGGAGTTTGACACACTTTTGCACAAAACTACAAACTTTTTAGTTTGGCAATAAGTTTTGAACAGTTCGTGCTAGCTAAGAATTTGAAATTTATACTTCACATTTGCCTTTAATGTGACAAGACCTTTCAATTGATATCAAGGTTTTTGACCTTGACCTTAGAGTTGACCCACTTTATAAAACTTTAACCTTGGCCATAACTTTTAAACAATTAAAACTAGGGCTTTTGTATTTCCTAGGTGTACTTCTTGTGACAAGACCTTCGTCCTGATACCAACAATTTTGACCTTTGACCCAGATCTTAGAATTTGATCCGGTTTATAAAAAAACATTAATCTTGGCCAAAACTTTTGAACAGGTAGGACTTAGGGCTTTCAAATTTAAAAATGTATTTCTTGTGACAATACCTTCCTCTTGACACCAACAATTTTGACCTTGAACTTGGGGTTCGACTTGCATTCGCAAAACGGAAGCATCGGTGTTTCAAAAGCTCATCTTTTTTATGAATCTGTAATCAAAGATTCGGGGTATATAGTTTTGCTCTGTCCGCATGTCTGTCTGTCTGTTTTTCTGTTTGTCCGCAAAACCTTTTCCCTTGCCCACAACCTTTGAGTGGGTGGGGCTAATGGCTTTTTATATTTTACAGGTGTACTTGCATACCACAAAATGTAAACTCTTGACCGTATCCTAGGAATTTGACTCACTTAAATTACAAAAAATTCCAAACTTTAACCTTGGCCATAACTTTTGAAGTTGTTGCTAGGGCTTTCATACTTCACATGTGTACTTATTAAGACAAATTTCAATGGATATAATTTTTTTTGACCTTTTGACCTAGACCTCAGAGTTTGACCAACTTAAAAAAAAACTTTAACCTTAGCGATACCCTTCAAACAGAAAGTACTAGGGATTTCATGTTTCACATCTGTATTCCTTCTGAAAAGGCTTTCCATTGGATACCAGCAATTTCGACCTTTTAATCCTGACCTTGGAATTTTCTTTTCATTTTGGAAACTTAAACCTTTGCCATAAGCTGCCATACGGGAGCATCTGAGTGTTTCTCAAACACATCTTGATTTTTACCTGGATCTTCCCTTTAATCTTAAACTCATTTAAATTCTTCATATTTTTCTCAAACTGTGTTTGCTGATACATATATATTATTATAACAGTAACTTGATCCGAAGGGTCGTATCACGTCGAGTTGACAGGCGCGGATCATCAGATCTAACGAGACGCGACATCCCACCAGCGTGACATATAGTGGTACAGACAACCTTTTCAAATTATTTTTCTGTATGTGAACTTCATAAATATGCAGTTTTTAAAATGAAAAATAAATCAGTTCCTACCGGTGAAACCGGATGGGACTTAGCAAAGGTAATTTTCAAAATGTTCCTCCTCCTCTGTCACTCCGCCCAACCTGGTTTTTCGCACTTTTTTATGTTTTCTGATATTGAGCTGATTTGTGATAATTTTGTGTAAATTTATGAGTCACGGATCAGGTTTTCATTTCCTTCCGATTCACTGATTCTTGAGGGAATTATAGTTGTACTACGAGCTTTGTTAACAAACCCCGCCCTCTTCAATAAGCACGTGTTTTTATTACAGTTCTCAAGTTAGCTTGGACTTTCAGTAAGGCGTGGTATTCTCGGCGCAATGTAATTAGCGTCTGTCAAATGACGAATATATAGATTCTCATTGGTTAAGAAATTAATAACATCAAGAACTTTGAATTGTTGTTGACAACGGTGAGACGACTTAGCCCCGCTTCTGTGCCGTGCGAGAACTTTTAATTGCCTATTTGCTACACCAGTTGACATTCGGCCGAATTTCTATCGTATGTATTTTTCAACAGTGAAGGAAAGCTGTGTAAATTTGAGAAACTAATTAGGTAACGTCGAGAATTCCACGCTTTACTATAAGTCCAAACTCAACTGGAAATTGTTCTAGCTTTACCTTTTCCCATGTGAAGTCATACATTTCATGTTTAGGTAACCTTAATTCACGGTAATCAAAATTCCCCTCTGACCATTTTTTTAAGGTCACCTGAATTTTCTATTCTATCCGTTTCTGTCCGTCGTCGTGCGTTGTGTGTTAACATTTGAACATTTTCAGCTTCTTCTCTGCAACCACTCAACCAATTTCAACCAATTTTAATATAAAGCATCTATGGGTGAAGGGGAACAAAAATTGTGAATTTCATGGTCCATGTCCCCCCTGGGGCCTGAGGGGTGGGGCCAAAAACCACTAAAATTGATGCAATCTTTAAAAATCTCCCTCTTCACTTCTGGACATCAGGCAGTTAAACTGTTTGCAAAATTGTAATCTACATTGAGTCTTCCACTAATATTGTGAAATTTATGGCCCTGGGGTCAGGGGTTTAGTGCTAGGGCGGGGCTAAATAGATTATAAATAGATTATATAGTGAAAATGCATTTTTTCTTTTTAAATCTTCTCTGCTCTTGGCATTGAATAAACTAACCAAGTACATATACCTCCAAAAATGGTGAATTTCATGTCCCCAGGGTCAGGAGTTCTTAGGTGCAAGGGCGGGGCTATATAGACCATATAGCTAAAATGCATTTCTTTGAAAATCTTCTTTATTTAATAAACAAACCAAATATTAGTAGTTATGTTGAATAAGGCTGTCTCTATCAAAATTGTGAATTTCATGGCCCCGGGGTCAGGTCAGGGTTTCTGGAGTAAGGACAGGGCTCTATTAATTATATAGTGAAAATGCATAAATTCTTTTAAAATCTTATTTTCAGCTCCAGGGTATCAAACAGTCTAACCAAGTACACAGTTTTGATGAGCAAGAATGTCTTTTTCAAAATTGTGAATTTCATGGCCCCTGGGTTTGGGTTTCTGGAGTTAGAGTGGGGTTCTATTGATTATATACTGTAGCGAAAATACATTAATTCTTCAAAGCTCTTCTTCTCTGCTCCTTGGTATGAAATAAACTTACCAAGTACATAGTTATGTTGAATAACACTGCCTCTTCCAAAATTGTGAATTTCATGGCCCCAGGGTCAGGGGTTCTGGTGTTAGGGCGGGCTCTATTGATTATATAGTGAAAATACATTAATTCTTAAAAATCTTTTCCACTGCTCCTGGGTATTAAACCAGTGGACTGTGTACGAGTGCCTCTTCTAGATTTGTGAATTTCAGGGCCCCTGGGTCAGGGGTTTTGGTGTTAGGGCGGGGATCTAATGATTATATTGTGAGAATGCATGAATACTTTGAAAATCTTTTCCTTTGCTCCTGGGTATTATGCCAATGTTCTAAGTACATATTAATGATGATAAAAGGTGCATCTTCCAAAATGGTTAATTTCTGGGCTCCTGAGTCAGGGGTACTTGGGGGTTACATAGTCTGAAAATAAATCAATGCTTTGAAATCTGCTCTTTGGTATTAATCAACCATTTATGATTAAATAGAATTGATGATTAACAAGAGGCCCATGGGCCTTACAGGTCACCTGAGCATTATGCAAAAACTTTCCAGTGATTGAATTTGTTTCATGTTTTAAGCCAGATGCTATGGCATTCACAATTTTGAAAGAGGCACCATTGATCACCATAATATACACTTAGCAGTTGCTTTGTTTGGTTACTTAATACACATAGGCAGGGTAGGTGAACAAAAAATACATTTCAACTAATCAGTAATATTCAGCTATAATCAGTAGTGCCCCTACCATACATGAAACCCTGACCCTTAGGCCTAGGTCCACACATTGCACAATTTTTGAAAAGGCATCCTTGCTTTTTAAAAATATTTGATTAATACCAAGGAGCAGATTTCAAACCATTCATTTTAAGTATATAAGTACAGCCCCCATCCCCCCACCCCCCAGTCTATGGTACCCCTGACCTGGGGCCTTGAAATTCACAATTTTTAGGGCCCTTGCTCATCATAACTATACAGGTAGTTCATCTGCTTAATACATACGAGCAGAGAAGAAAATTTTCAATGATTTAATGTATTTTCACTATATAATCAATAGAGTCCCACTCAACTCCAGAACCCCTGACCCTGGGGCAATAAAATTTAAAATTTTGGTAGAGGCACTCTTGCTCGTCATAACAATGCACTTAGTTAGTTAATTTAATACATAGGAGCAGAGAAGAAGAAGATTTTCAAAGAATTCATGTATTTTCACTATATAATCAATAGAGCCCCGCTTTAACGCCAGAACCCCTGACCCTGGGGCCATAAAATTCACAATTAAGATAGAGGCATTTTGCTCATCATAATTATGCACTAAGTTAGTTTATTTAATACCCAGAAGCAAAGAAGAAGACTTTCAAAGAATTCATATATTTTCACTATATAATCAAAAGAGCCCCGCCCTTACACCAGAACCCCTGACCCTGGGGCCATGAAATTCACAATTTTGGTAGAGGACACTTTTGCTCATCATAACTATGTACTTAGTTGGTTTATTTAATACCCAGGAGCAGAGAAGAAGATTTTCGAAGAAATGATGCATTTTCACTATATACTTATTTAGCCCCCCCCACACACACACTAGAACCCCTGACCCCAGGGCCATGAATTTCACAATTTTGGTAGAGGACTCAATGCTGATTACAATCATGCAAACAGTTTGACGGCTTGATGTCCAGGAGTAAAGAAGAAGATTTTTAAGATTGCATTAATTTTAGTGGTTTTGGCGCTACCCCTAAGGCCCCAGGGGAGCGGGGACCATAAAATTCACAATTTTTGTTCCCCTTCACCTATAGATGCTGTATACAAAATTTGGTTGATATTGGTTACGTGGTTTCAGAGAAGAAGCTGAAACCGTCAAATGTTAACACACGATGGACGACGCAAGACGACGGACGGAAACGGATAGCAATAGGTCACCTGAGTGACTCAGGTGACCTAAAAATTTCCAAAATTTTTAGATATGTGCCCCGGGGTCAGTGGTTCCTGTGGGGTGGGGTGCACAACTGGTTGTAAAGTGGAAATGCATTTTCTCTTTGACTCTTTGATCTACCTCTTGGTATAAAGTAACCAAAGTAAGCAAGCTAAAAGCTAAATGTATAGTTATGATAAGCAATGGCGCCTCTTTCAAAATTGTGAATTTCATGGCCTTTGGTTTAAAACACGATCCAATTCAATTGCTCAGGTGACCTCTTGTTTTTAAATTAGGCTTTTTAAACAAAAATATTCGCAAATTATGTCACGCTGCGTTTCATTTTCCTCTTAATACAGTGGCGTAGCATCGTTTTTGAAAGTGGGGGGGCCAGGCAGAGAAAATTTTTTTTTACTTACCCGAAAAAGTTGACAAGCAAAAAAAAAAAAAAAAAAAAAAAAAGGGCAAAAGTTGCCCAAAGTCGAAAATCCTATTTCGTGGGGGGGGGGGGGGGGGGGGGGAGGGAGGTAGGTAAACTCAGTGTCAACTACTTTTAGTACCAATTCTTATGCAACATTTTCGGTACATTTCTAAAAGTGGGGGGGCCAACCAGGCTTTCAATTAACATTTCCTATAGTGTAAGTAAGGTTGGGAAAAAATGGGGGGGGGGCCTGGCCCCCCCTGGCCCCCCCGGATACTACGCCCCTGTAATATATTTAAATACAAGGCGAGAAGTGTATGTGCATGGTTATCAGGTATCCGTACATTTAATGTGGAGGATTGACTCCGCCTCCTCGAGAATCAGACAGCATTGTAGCTAACCGCTGCTACGTACCCCGAGTACCTGGTTTTCTTGCTTTCAAAACCTGTGCTTGGAAATATTTTGCCATTTTGGATTTTTGTTATTGTAGGTATGCAAGAGGATTTAACGTAGTCAAAGTAAACTAGACAAGTAAGTACATGTATAAGATGCTAATCTTTGGACACTATTGTCAGTGGCTTACATTCTCTGCTAACTAGAAGGTTAAAATATTGATCAAATTTCACATCAAAAAACCATCACAATATGGCTGCATTTACAATTTAGAAAATATGTTTACCTGAATGAGATAAAAAGAGAGTCAATAATAATTCTACACAAATTGGTGAGACATTTGAAGGAAAAAATGTTATATACTGAAGATTTGAAGAAAAAACAAAGGAGAGGAGAAAGCGGAGCTAGAAAATGATTGCAAAATTGACATTGTTTTCATTAAAAAAAAATAATTTCTTGTTTGTGGAGAAGCCATTATTAGGGTTTGACTTAAATTTTATAAGTGCATGTGTACTAAACCAGTCGGGATGCGTCCAATAATTTTTACAAGCCCTGACTATAAATCCACTAGCCCTGACCAAATTTGTAAATTTACTTCTTTTTATCGATTGATTAAATATTGTTTTTTTTTTTTTTACGCCAAGTCAGCAATATTTCGGCACTTCTTTTTATCGAAAATTTAAACACCTAACTTTTGAAACCATATTATAATCAATTTAAAATCTATACTATACGTACCTATTTATACCATACTGTAGTTTCATACCGATTGTACCAAGAAGAATTTTTTTGCAATGGCTTTTTATTACGGAATTAGTATTTGAGTGTCACTGACATTCTTGTAATGACTTACATGTATTTATTATAGTTTATTTTTGTGGCAAATATTACGAATTTTAGTGTAACGTAGCTTTGAAGAATGTGTAGTTTCCAGTAAGATTATCGTTACAGTGCAGTGACTATAAACCTAGAATAAGATGCTAATTTTCGAGTTTAATAGACCGACATATCCTAGAGTTATATTTTATATTTTACGAGGGTCGTTCAATAGGTGTTGCAAATATATATGTACAGTATATCTTAAGGTATTTCCATCCTCCTATGATGTCATCGATTTTTTTTTCAAAACTGAACAATTGGTGTAATGATAAATATTGTGAAGTAAAATAATTTGAAAAAAAAATATATAGATACTTTATTTAATCATCTATAATTTTCTTATTTAATCAATCTTTAAAAAAATATTGAAAAGGACAATAACTCAATCCCAGATGCTTCCTTCAGACATTCTTTTATTATACTTCTAACTTAAGATAACTTCCCTTATATTCACAATTCAATGGTATCTTTTAAGAATCAAGTATTTTGGAATTTTTAGCATCAGGCTATAATGCATTAACTACATTAAATGAAAATACATGGAGTTTTTTTTGTACTTTTGAACTTTTAAAATCATGAACGTGGAAAGACCTGATTAAATATTGACTTTTTATTTAGGCATTTAATTTTGTTTTTTCACAGTTGAAAAGTTCTATTAAAGAGCTCTTAAACACAGAAAACTCCATAAATTTTCCTCGCAAAGAAATTCACTTTTTAAGAATGCACAAAAAAGTCACTACACTGAGCTGAAAAATATTTATAAATGATTTCTACCAAGAAGATGAATATAAGGGCATATGTGAAAACTGTGCTTTTTATATAAATCGCCGAAGAACCCATATTTAGGATGATTATGTTTGGAAAATAAAATGTTCTTTGACGCTGTATACTTTTCAGATGGATTCAATAATTCAAAAGAAAGAAAGAGAGTGAATATAACAGTCAAAAGATATAACAAGATTTCTATCAGATAGATGCACTATTTTCTTACAAATGCCTTCTGGAAAACACGCGTTAAATATATCAACGTTCCATTCAAATACAAATATTTAAACAGAAAACAAAAGAATTGATAAACTTACTTGATAAATGAGAAAAGATATGTGCACTTTTTATATCCGATGTTTACTAAAGTCCATATTGTTGACATTTATGCATTACTCATGGGGATACGTGTATCACTCAGTATTACTCAAAATGAATATCTTATCTCCATTGTATATTCTTATATCCGGCATTCTGGTAGATTTAATTGATTGTTAAATGTTCTTAAATTTCTAATTGGTATAAAAAAATAATGTAGCAATATATATGTATACATTGTGAGTTTATTTATTCCGTACAAACTATTGGAGTCTAATTTAGTCTTTTGTGATATTTCATGTAGGAAGAGGGCAATTTAATTTTTAGAACTTGTGCACAATCCCATTGTATATATTCATTGCAATATAATATGTTCAAATCAACTCATATCCAAAAAAAGTATTAGATTAATAATAAAAAATGTGGAATCAAAGAAGAAAATGTCATTTTATTATGGTTAAGAGAAGTAAGGGCTCCAAACATGTTTTATTAGATTTTAGTATTTTAGACCTACCTACCTACCTAGTCCTTGTTATGCCCGTGGGCACATAGGGCAAGGACTAGATTTCTCCACCTCTCTATCTTTAGCGTTTCTTTCCAGCTCTCCCCACGTTAGCTTGTGGTCCCTCATTTCTTTTTCAACCGTCCTTCGCCAGGTGGTCTTTGGCCGACCAGGTTTCCTCTTCCCTTCTGTTGTCCATCTAAGGGCTACTTTGGTGAGGTTGTCGGCTGGCTTCCTCAACACATGCCCTATCCATCGCCAGTTTAGTCAACAAGATGTTGTCTGTGTTGGCCTTCTCATGTAGTTCCACATTTGTAATTTTGTTTGGCCAGAAAATCCTCATGATCTTTCTGAGGCATCCATTGTGGAAACTAGAAAGTTTGCATGTCTCCTTCTGTCATTCTCCAGCATTCTGACCCATAGAGTAGGACAGATAGTACGCAACTGTTATATATTCTTATTTTTGTCCTTCTACTTATGTCATTTGTTTTCCAGATGTCCTTGAGGCTAATGAAGGCACCTCTGGCTTTACTTAGTCTGGCCTTTATATCTTTGTCCGCACCTCCATCTGATGTTACTATGCTGCCAAGATAGGTAAATTTTGTTGTGTTGCTCAGGTTGTTTCCATCAACCTGTATTCTTGCTGGTTGTTTGGTGTTTAATGACATAACTTCAGTTTTCCTGGTCTTGATTTTTAGTCCAATTTTTTCTGCATTTCTCTGTAATTTTGATGTTTTACTTTGCATATGCTTTTCCAGATGTGATAGGAGGGCCAAGTCATCTGCGTAGTCTAGGTCTTCAAGATTGGTAAAGAGTGTCCATCTTATTCCTGTGTTATTTCCATTTAGGGTTGATTTCATTACCCAGTCAATTGCTAGTATAAAGAGGAGAGCTGACATCACACATCCCTGCCTCACGCCAGATTTTACTATGAAGCATGCATCTGATGAGCTGCCTATAGAACAATTAAACTCCACGTAAAAAGCTTTTATCAGTTCTACTATCTTTGATGGTATTCCATAATGTCTTCAGATCTTACATAGACTTTCCCTGTGGATACTGTCAAAGGCTTTTTCGAAATCTATAAAGTTTATTATAAGCTGCCTTTGCCACTCTGTACATTGCTCTATGATATTTCGCAGGGTAAACACCTGGTCGTAACAACTTTTCCCTTTTCTAAAACCTGCTTGTTCTTGTCTTAGTTTGGCATCTATTGCAGTTTTAATCCTGTCAATAATTATTCTGCTGAAAATCTTACTAGGTATTGATAGCAATGTGATGCCCCTCCAGTTATTGCAGTTAGTAAGATCTCCTTTCTTTGGCACTTTAATGATACTTCCTTCGGACCATGTCGTTGGTATTTTGTATTATTATTCCAGATCTTGGTGAATAATGAGTGTAAAATGTCTGCTGCAAGGTTTGGATCTGCTTTGAATAGCTCTGCTGGCAGTTGGTCATTTCCAGGTGCTTTGTTGTTCTTAAGGGCTGTTATTGCTTTGAGTATTTCAGCTTTAGATGGTTCCTCTGTTTCAATTTCTAAATCAGTGTCAGCTTCCGGTATGTGTGCCAGTTCGTTAGGCTCCGGGCGATTCAACACTTTTTCAAAATGTTCTCTCCATCTTTCATCTTGTTCCTTTTCGGATGTAATGAGGTTGCCTTGCTTGTCTTTAACAGGCATGTTTGTTTTTCTTTTCCTTCCACTCAACTTTTTCGTTATTTGATAGAGATCTCCCATTCTTTGTTCAGAAGCAGCTTTCTCAGCTTCTCTTGCTATGCCTGCTATAAAACTGTTACGATATTTCTTTGTTGCTTTCTTCACATCTCTATTGCAGTTGGAGTATTGCTCTCTTAATCTCTCTTTTATTCTTTCAGAGTGGGTGTTACATAGCTTAGTTTTAAGGTCTTTCCTTCTGTCAATGATATTCCAAGTATCTGGTGTGATCCATTCCTTATGCACCTGCCTCTTAAACCCTAGACACTTCTTGCTCGATTCACTAAACAGGTTGCAGATTTCACTCCAGTGTACGTCAACCGATTCATTATCAACATCACCACATTGCAAGACTTGAAATCTGTTCTTTAGCTCTAATCTAAAATCTTGCCTCATTTTATTTTCTTTCAGCTTGCCTGTATCTATTCGCCTGATGTTGCTTTTTGGCGCTACCTTCATTAGCTTAAGCTTTATGCTGGCAGTAACAAGGTGGTGATCACTTCCAACATCAGCCCCACGCTTCACTCTAACATCCTGTAAAGATCTTTTCCATTTTCCATTGATGGCATTGTGGTCAATTTGGTTTTTATCTCTCCCTCCAGGTGACACCCATGTGAGTTTGTGTATCTTTTTATGCTGGAACAGTGTTCCACCAATGACCAAGTTGTTGTTTCCACAGAATTCTGTGAAGTATTCACCGTTCTCATTCATACTTCCACAGCCATTCCTCCCCATAACTCTTTCATAATCAACATTATCGCTTCCAACTTTCGCATTGAGATCCCCCATGACGATCATCAGATCTTGCTTTGGAACTTTTTGAACTTCTGCCTGTAGAGCCTCATAGAATTCCTCTTTAATCTCATTTTCTGCTTCATTTGTAGGGGCATAGACCTGTATTATAGATGTCTGAACAGGTTTTGTTTTCAGTCTTACTCTGATGATTCTTTTCATTTACAGGAT